TATATATATATATATTATTCACCTAGTAACAAAGTTTAAGGTGTGATGTGAGCATAACTTGATGAGTAATTAACACTACTATATAGATCCGAACCAGCTGGTGAATGATTACCCTAAAATCATTGATGAAAGAAAAAAAAATGAAATAATACATACTCAAAACAACTGTCATGTTATCATACGAGTAATTTACCTGTAAAAATCGATTAAGTTCTTCTTGTGTGTCAAATATCATGACCATAAATGGCGATCCAGGGACATGTTCCCCGGCCCATTTAACTTCAACTCTGTAATCACCAGGCTCGGTTGGATCAAACTTACACAGTATAGTTCGATCTTTTTGATTTTCACGTTGCATTTCTACACGGAATGCTCCTAAAACATAAACAAGTTTACAATAATAACATAATATCATATTATACTAATATTCAACAATGGTTTAATAAAAATAAATTTGAAAWTTGAMAAATATGATTTAGTATAATATAAAGTGTTTAAGTTTTTACCTTTGGGTCCTCTAACCCTGACTGTTAATTGTCCAGCTCCAGCTCCACGAGTATCACATATAAATCTACTTTGGAAAATTGCTAGCACACCGTGTTCTATTCCAGGTCCATACACACGAACTTTACTAGCATCTGGCGCACCACTAACACGAACAGTAAAAGGACTTCCAGGTACATCCTCGCCTAAATTTTTGGTATATACAAATACAAAATTCACATAAACTATAGCAAAACGTTTATTTATATTTATTATTATGAAGAAATATATATCATCATAGACGTATCCACAGGTCTTGCCTATCATGCACAGGAATAACCTACAAAATTTGGGGCTCATCCCAATACTTTAACAGAATTTTTATTGGAGGGGGGGGATTTCCTCCTCCCTATAAGATATGTGACTGTTGTGCATGACATGCACATTAGGTCTTAATTTAAATATATTATTGAGATTTATTTAAAATTGTATAGCATTTGTATACTTTAGGGTCAATAGAATATGAGTAATACCTACCTAATAATAATWAATTAATACAGATTGTTTCAATTATAATGGTGTATGTAGATTCCAAATAATGAAATGCCCTACAATATATTATAAAGTTATTTATTATACAAACCGGCATATTTAACAGTCAGTGTATGTCTGCCTGATTCTTGTGGTTTCACATTTAATGTGAAAGTACCATCTCCGTGGTCATAAAGTTCACAGTAAGCAACTTTATGAGGTCCAATACAATGAGCACTTAACTCCCCTGAAATATACATGTACATTAATAAATGGTTAATAATTTTATGTTATAAATAATAAACATAAAAACAAAATGTCTTATATTTTATACCTGGACCTGCTCTTCGTGTATCAATAAAACTTCTGATATCTTTTCCAACTGTACCTATACCAAGACCATCTCCAGTGCATAGAACTTTACTAGCATCACAAACACCAGTTACATTAACCTTTAAAGGACAACCTTTAACTTGCCTGAAATGAGAAAATATATATAATTATATGCTGTAAACATATATATATATATATTTATTTATTTACCTGTGACCCCAGAGCACATTTAATAAATAAGCGCCTGGACTTACTGGAGTATAATTGGCACTATACACATTATCACCTGTTTTTTCGATATTGACTAATATTTCATGCCTGGAGCCTGCTAAGGTAACTACAGGATTGCCTAAATTTAAGTGATAAAACCATAATAACAATTGACAAAAAAAAACACATGAAAATGTACTAGTAGAATAAACATACCAGGTCCTGCTTGTGATCCATCAATTATAAATTCTGCTTGTTGACCACAAGTAGCTGTTGATAGCCCACTTCCAGATAGTAATACTCGTACACCAGCAGCGCCACTTTCTACTAAAGCAGGATATGGTGAACCTGGTAATGGTAGTCCAGCAAAATTYAAGTACAGGGCATGTGGGCCAGATATGTGTGGTGTTAATACACATTTAACATTATCACCAGAGTGGTCAATCATTATTGGAACAATTGTTCCTCCTTGACTTTCTAAATGACCATCTAGTTCACCTATGATATGAATAGTAAGAATTATAATTAATTATAAATAACAATATAACAAGAAGTATAGTATTTACCAGGACCAGCAATAGATGTATCAAATGTCAATGTTGTGGGAGCATTAACTCCAAGTATAATACGACTATTTAAATTTGAATCACCAATTGTTAACACTTTAGTCAAATCAACAACCATACACTTATATGGTGAATTACCAACATGTCTTCCATTCCAAACAATGTTTATATCACAAAAACCAATATGGTTTGGAATAAATAAAACTTCATAATCTCCTTCATGACCACTTGAAGATTGATTAATTGTCACAGGTATTATTTCAGAACCATTGCGTATATTAACAACAGGAACAGTGTGATAAGATGTGCCTAACGCTGAGATATAAAATTTTGTTGAAACATCTTTAAGAGCTTTGACAAGACCAGAACCCCAGGCACGAGGTACTCCTGGATCCGCCACATGCACTTTTAATGGAGATTCAGTTATGTGATCTTTGCCATAACAGATGTTAAAAATATAATCTCCAGGTACTGTGGGATTTATTTCAACAACATCAATATCTTCATTGAACATTTTTAAATCAACTGGAACATCTTCGTTCTCTGGTCCAAGACAAGTAACTGTAAAATCAGCTAAACCAGCRTTCTTCCGTAATACTGAAAGTTGTAAAACACAGTTTGTCAATTTCAATCTCAGAAATWTACTACTGTATACTAACATTTGAATGACATTGGTTTATGAATAACTGAACTGTTCTTCTCTGGAAGACTGTCGATTTTAACTTTACTAGCATCGTGTACATAACTGGTAAATGGTGATCCTTTTAAATGTTTACCAAARTGTGTAACATCAATATTATACTGCCCTGAATAAAAAAAAAAATTGTTTAAATTTATAATAGAAATATTAAACTATAAAAATACTCACCAACTTTAGGAGGTGTAAATTCAACAATCAAGTTCATACCATTTTTATGTTGATAACATTGGGCTGGTACAGCACTATGTTGTGTACCGGTAATGACAACATCAAATTCATGACTAGATTTACCAGCACTGTCTATTATGAATGTAGACATTTTGTTAGAAATACCTTGGTAAAGTCCAAGACCAACAACTCGAAGTTCAGCTGATGTAGATGGATTTTGTTCTCGGATATTCACCATAAACGGAGACCCGTGTACATTAAAATTATTGTATTTCACGTGAACATAATGGGGTACAGGTATTACAGGCTGATATGCTACTTGATAGATACCATTAGACTCAACATCTGACGATTTTAGTTTGACATCACGGCCAGCTGCTTTAATTGCCACCGATAATTCTCCTTTACCAGCATTTCTTGTATCAACTATATAATATGAGAAAAAAATTGTAAATCAGAATATTGCCTAATGTTTTTAAATTTTTTTTTTCTTCATACCTTTAAATGATGTAGGTTTATTACAAATAGCTTCATTGAGTCCACTAACAATGACTAACTCAGAATCTATGACTTGAACTTTCCAAGGATGTTTGGTAATTGGTTGATTTCTATGCAGAATTGTTACCATATGAACACCAACAATAGATGGACGATATGTTATCCGATATAACCCACTGTCATGTTTGTGTAAATTAACAGGTATAGTTTTATTATCAGGATCTAATTTCAAAAATAATTTTTATTCATAATAGCATAATAATTGAATTATTTTTATCAACAATAGATCTTTTATCAAAGCAGAAAATAAACCTTTTATGATCACACTAATGGATCCATGATCAGCAATATGCGGATTAATATCAAAACGAGCCGGGTAACCAAGTTTTACTCGTTGCAATCCTTCACCATATGCAGTTATTGATGAACCAGATGCTCCTTTCTTAACTCCATTTAAATCAATAACATCACAACTATATGGACTTCCTTTAAATTTTAATTTTAATAATTACAAACCTTCATCSTAATCTGCAAATCTTAATTTTTAATTAAAGTTATTTACCCGGTACAATTTCATCATTAAATGTAATATTAACAAAATGTGGTATTGCATTATGAGGGACAAAAGTCACATCATATAATCCTCTGGAACAAGCGACTACTTCTGCTTTAACTGTGCCTTTTTGACTACTAACAACCAATTCCAATGTACCTTCTCCAGCTTCTGTGGCATCTACACTAAAGGTAACTGGTTTACTAGCCTATGTAAAAATATTCTATGAGTGCATATAACAAAATAAAATATATCATGTTGAATGTAAGAAACATACTTTAGCACTATCAAGTCCTGTAACTTTTATATTATTTATATTATACACATTACAAGCAAATGGACTACCATCAACTGGCTGATCTTCTATAAAAACTTCTATCATATGTCTTCCTGGAAATGGTTTGATTAATTATAAATTATAATATTTTATAAAATATGTTCTTTATTCCTATATGTTAACATTAAAGGTTACCAATTTCATTTGGTATATAATACACTCCAATAGCATTGGCCATGATGCTCGTTTTAACATCAACCAGTTGTCCAGATGGTGAAAATACRTTGACTTTGAAATTTGTATCATTGGATATATCAGGACTTTCTATTTTAATGTCAGCTGTCTTTTTTATGGCACAATATCGAACGCCATTTCCAGTTACTGCGACTTGATCAATATCCAATACTCTGCAAGTTAATGGAGACCCTGTATGATAAATAGTTAATTAAACAATTATTTTTATTACAATTTAAATATTATATGAAATAAACCTATAAACATATAGACATATTATATTACCTGGAATAGGTTCACCATTGAAACGTACACTCAAACTATGAGGGGCAGCGTCTCGGGGCTTAAAATTAACACGGAACTTTGCATTTCCTTCAGATTGAACATAATTTGGAACATTAACTCCATTCACTGATACTATGATTTCTAAATTACCGGCACCAGCTTCACTAGCATTAACTAAAATGACAGAAATTTTAGTATCTTTTGTATCATAAATTAATTCATTCATTTTTACTATTGAAATTGACTGGTTTTCCAACAAATCCTGTGTTAATATCTGTAACACGAACTTTAGAAGCATCATATGCTTTAACTAAAAACGGACTGCCTTCAACATGWATACCATCTACTTTRACTTCAACACTATGGTCACCTAGTTAAAAGTAAAATATATTATTGTAATAACAATAAAATTAATGAAATTGATTGGTGAAAAGATAATACAAACTTACCAACATCAATAGGAGTAAATTGAACATTGTGAGTTGATGGTTGAGTAGCAGGTATAAGAGTAACGGGTAAAGAATGCCTAAGAGGTGCAAGAACTTGTACTTGAGGACTACTTTCACATTGAACAGCAAATGACGCTATCTTACCAACAGCGACTTTATCTTCGGTAGCTGACCA